AAGTTGGACGCTTAACCGACTGAGCCACCCAGGCGCCCCAAGAGGTTTCTTTTTAAGAAGCACATAATTTTTAAGTTTAGTTTACTGTTGCACTTTTTCTTTATTCCCTTTTCTTTCTTACATGCTTTGGATTAAGTATTTTTTTTATTATTTCCTTCTTTATTAGCATGTTATTGATAACATTGTTTTTCTGTAGATTAAATCTTTTATTTGTTTGTTTGTTTTGAGAGAGAGGGAGAGAACGAGCAGGGGTAAGGCAGAGAGAGAGAGGGAGAGAGAGAATCCCAAGGAGGCTCTGTGCTGACAGCTCCAGTGCGGGGCTTGAACACATGAATTGTGAGATCATGACCTGAGCCAAAATCAAGAGTTGGGTGCTTAACTAACTGAGCCACTCAGGTGCCCCTTTCTATAGATTAATCTTATAGTAAACACTACAAAATGCATTTTAATTTATTGTAAGTTAGTCCTTTTACTACTTTTTGGACAGTGCGAGAACCTTCAGAATACTTTTTAACTGCATTTATTTCTCTCATGACTTATGTGCTTTTGTTGACATAATTTTAAACCCCCCAAACATAATTATTATTTGTTTAGATTCACCAACATTTTACCCTTTAGGTTGTTCTTTGTTCTAACTCCCTGCCTTGCTGGGAAAAGCAGTGCTAAAGGTGGATTCATCTCTCCCAAGTTTTCCTATTCTTTCGGATCTGGATCCCAGTTTTTCATGGCCTTGGTAGCTTTCTGATGCTTTCAGACCTGTTATTTATGGGATGCCTGGGTGGCTCAGTCATTTTTTTTTTTAATTTTTTTTAATGTTTATCTTTATTTATGAGAGAGAGAGACAGAGCATGAGCTGGGGAGAGATGGAGAGAGAGGGAGACACAGAATCTGAAGCAGGCTCTGGGCTCTGAGCTGTCAGCACAGAGCCTGATGCGGGGCTCGAGCTCATCAACTGCGAGATCATGACCTGAGCTGAAGTCGGACGCTCAACCGACTGAGGCACCCAGGCGCTCCTGGCTCAGTCATAAGTGCGGACTTTGGCTCAGGTCATGATCTTGCAAGTCATGAGTTCAAGCCCTTTGTCAGACTCTGCTGATGGTGCAAAGTCTGCTTGGGATTTTCACTCTCTCTGCCCCTCCCGTACTTGCGCTTTCTCTCCCTAAATAAATAAACTTAAAAAAAGTGTTATTTATTTTCTAGCTTCTCTGTTCCTAGGGGCAGAGTTAATTCAAGACAGTCTAGTCTACTATTGTCCAAAGTGGAATTCCTTAATTTATTCCTTAAATAATCTTTTTTTTAATTTGTTTTCTAAACACTATTTTATGTACCCAAATATAATAATGACTTAAAACTAATGTGGGAAGACCTCGTATAGAACAAACCTCATTGCATTCTCTAGAGTCTTCTCATTTTTGTAGAATTCTGATATTTTGGATTTTGATATTTTAGAATATTTTTCATTGGTATTTGAGGTCTGTAAAGCAGTGGGCAATATATTGTTTTGCAAGGAACCTTTCTTAGAGATGATTAAAATGTTTTTCTTCTGGGGTGCTTGGGTGGCTCAGTTGGTTATGTGTCTAGCTTGGGCTCAGGTCATGATTTTGTGGTCCGTGAATTTGAGCCCTGTGTCAGGCCCTCTGCTGACAGCTCGGAGCCTGGAGCCTACTTGGGATTCTGTGTCTCCCTTACTCTCTGCCCCTCTTCTGCTTGCACTGTTTCTCTTTCTCTCTCAAAAATAAGTAAACATTTTTAAAAAACCTTTTTTTTAATGTTTTTCTTCCAACATATGAATATTTCAGATTTCTTATGCAGTAAATCATACAAACACATTAGACAGAGAAAATGAATTAGAGTGGTCATAGCAAGTAAGTTTCGTGATGTCACTTAAAACAAAGATAATTTTCTTAACCTTTCAAACAAGAGTAAATTATACCACAGATGGGACAGCTTATTTTCTATGGAAGTTTTCAAAAATTAAACTTGTGAATCCATTTGAACACCTTGAAATATTGAGTAAAAAAATATTTTTGTTATTTTACTGCATATTCAAAATTCTGTTATAAATAGACTGGATCATTGGCATAATTTTCAAAGTTAATACAGTATTTGCCTCTGTTTATAGCAAGAGTTGTAGAAGCTTCCATTTTTTTTCATTATTCTTTTCTCTTTTTCCCTTTTATCATCACTGTAGCTAGCCTTAGCACTTCCCACTACTGCATACTCATAGTTACACCAAACCATTAAATACTGTGCATAGATAAGAGTAATTGAGTTTATATAAACAGAAAGAGGAAAATATTTATGTTTTAAAGGTTAAAAATTTGAGTACCACTGCTTCTATAGCTCTTACAGAATGATTTTCCAACTTTAAAATCATTTGTTATTGTTTATTCCTAGGAGTGTTAAGTACATTAAAAGCAACCTTTCAAATATATTTAATAATAATCTGATCTAAATAACATTTTTTTAAGTTGTATAATGTTGCATTATGAAACCTATGAACATATTCAGTTATTTTGTCCTTTTAAAAATCTTTTTTTAGTATGTGAGACTATCATATGACACCAAACCTGAAGTCATTCTACAACTTCTGCTTAAAGAATGGCAAATGGAATTACCCAAACTTGTTATCTCTGTGCATGGAGGCATGCAGAAATTTGAGCTTCACCCACGAATCAAGCAGCTGCTTGGAAAGGGTCTTATTAAAGCTGCAGTTACAACCGGAGCCTGGATTTTAACTGGAGGAGTAAATACAGGTAATGTGATGATTATATCAATTTTATTTAGTGTGTTTATAAATGTCTCATAATATTAATTAGATATTTTAAATAATAGTCAACACCAAATATCAGTATATTTATCTTTTTCTGTTAAATAATTTATATAGTTCCTAAGTATAAATGGTAATTGTAGAAGTATTTGATTTTCATTTAGTCTTAAAAATAATAACTGTAGAGCAGGTATTAACAAACTATGGTCCCAGGCACCAAATCCAACCCAGTCATTGTTTTTGTAAATAAAGATTTATTGGAGCACAGCTACACTCATTTGTTTTTGAATTATCTATAGTTACATTTGCACTACAACAACAGAGGTGAATAGATGTGACAGAGACTGTTTACCTTGCAAACCCTAAAATGTTTATTATTTGACCTTTTACCAGAAAAAGGTTGTTGACCCCTACTATAGAGCCAAGTGTTACTCCTGTCACTCTCTGACTACTGGTAAATTGAACCCAGGATGGCAGTCCATTGCCTAGGCAGTGATAAGAAGTAGCTTTCAAAATTAATTTTTAATATACTATAATTTTTCATTCCAAGTCTTCTTTACCACATATATAAGTTAGATCTAAAAATGGCAGATTAACTTTAGTGTCCAAAGTAAAATATAATTATTACTGTTTGCAGACATTTAATTCATTATCAGCAGCTGGTTTTTGAATCTCATTGTATGTCAGGCATTCTTCTGGATGCTAAAGATCTACCATTCCACAAAGCAAAGAAAATATTTACCTTTGTGGAGCTTATATTTTAGCAGGTGAGATGCAGATAACAAACAGATAACTAAATATGTTATTACATGTTAGATGATAAGTGCTATGGAGACACATGAAATATAGAGGAAGGATGGTGAGGGATGGTGGAGGGGGCTTCATTAATAAGGTGACATCTGAGTAGAAATTGAAGGAAATGAGGGAGCAAGATAAGAATAGTGTGGGACAGAGTATTTAAAAGAAAAGAAACTGCTAGTTTGTTGGAAGAATGGTAAGAAGGGTACAGTGTAGGTAAGTAGAATGAATAAGGAAGGCTAGATGATGAGGTTGGAAAGGTATGGGGGTATGGTGGGTGATGGGATGGGGTGAGTTGGGGTAGAGTGGTGAATAGCAGGGGCAAAGGCACATCATTATATAAAACCTTATAGGCCATTACAAGCAAGCACTTTCACATTTACTCTGAGTAAGAAGGGAAGGTTTAAGCAGAGAGTTGACAAGAACAAAGATCATTTGGATGATGTTTTGAAAATAGACTATGCACAGGCAAGGCAGCAGTTGGAAGACCAGTGAAGAGGCTATTTCCATAATCCAGATGAGGAAGGAGATCTAATGCATTATAAAAATCAAATTGAGTGATGCATTGGTTTTCTAGGGCTTCCATAACAAAATACCACAGGCTGGGTGGCTTAAGCAAAATAAATTTTCTCACAGTTTTGGAGGTCCCAAGATCAAGTTGTTAGCAGGTTTGGCTCCTCCTGAGGCCTCTCTCCTTGGCTTGTAGATGGTCACTTTCTCACTGTTTCCTCTTTGTGCATGTGCATTCCTGGTATCTCTTTCTGGGTCCAAAATTTCCTTTCCATAAAAGGACACCAGACAGATTGGGTTAGGGCCTCATTTACAGTGTATAGTCTCTTTAAAGGACCTGTCTCCAAATACAGTCACATTCTGAGGTGCTGGGATTAGGATTTCAACATAAGAATTTTGGGAAAGATCCAGTTCAGCCCATAACAAGTGATAATGAGGAGTTACATGCTCTTTTGAATTACCTTTTCTACTTTTTTCCTTATTTTTGATTCAGTTGGACAACTTTTGTAGTTGCTTGGTGGGTGTGTGTGTGTGTGTGTGTGTGTGTGTGTGTGTGTTGCTTATGGTCCTGAGCCATACTCTTCATTTTTTTTTAGATGATGTGTAGAACAATAACAAACTACAGTTACTTACATGAGGAATCTAAGAGAGGACTAGGCCTAACAACATGGTAAAAGTTATTTTTACGTGTGTTTCAGGCAGTTGTAGTGATTTGACATTGTGGGATTCTTTTGTTTGTTTTCTTTTTGGTCCTTGTGTTTTCTTTCATCAGTTTGTCTTTTGGACCTCGTTGCTTTTTATCTTTGTATAAAGAAAAATATCACCAATTATAGTGTCATAGATTGAGCACAGGATTATTCTGAAAACAATAACTACTTTCAAATAAAGTGAAATAAATTTTGTATAAACAGGTGTGGCAAAACATGTTGGTGATGCCCTCAAAGAACATGCTTCCAGATCATCTCGAAAGATTTGCACTATTGGAATAGCTCCATGGGGAGTGATTGAAAACAGAAATGATCTTGTTGGGAGAGATGTAAGAATGATTTAAAAAACTTCTTATGTTTGAACTTCTGTATAAACAAAATTAGAGTAAGAATAGTGCAAGTCAACTTAAACTATTCATGATCATACTATACTTTTCAAATTATGTTTAAAAAGTATTTTCTTGGGGTGCCTGGGTGGCTCAGTCAGTTAAGCATCTGACTTCGGCCTAGGTCATGATCTCATGGCTCATGGGTTCAAGCCCCACATTGGGCTCTGTGCTGACAGCTCAGAACCTGGAGCCTGCTTCAGATTCTCCCTCTCTCTCCCTCTCTCTTTGCCCCTTCCCCCCCCCTCAAAAATAAACATTAAAAAAAATTTTTTTAAGTTATTTTCTTGAGGTTTTCTTACTATCCTTTCAAAAATGCATTCATAGATATAAGTAATTGGCATTATATTATTTAAAAATTTTTTTTTAATGTTTACTACTTATTTTTTTGAGAGACAGAGTTTGAGTGGGGGAGGGGCAGAGAGAGAGGGAGAATCTGAAGCAGGCTCCAGGCTCCGAGCTGTTAGCACAAAGCCTGACAGTGGGGCTCGAACCCACGAGCCATGAGATCATGACCTGAACTGAAGTCAGATGCTTAAACGACTGGGCCACCCAGGTGCCCTGTATTATATTATTAGTATGTTTCGGTTTCTGTTTTGTATAGCTATTTCACACCTTTTCCAAATCACGCCAGTCTTTGAAATTAAATTTTTAATGACATTAAGAATTAATTTTATTGTCACTAAGAGTAGTAATCAGTTGCTAGTGTTTTATTTGAATAGGTTAAGGACATGTGAATTGGTTATAAATATTTGTCAAGAGACTACTAAAAAAGAATTACTGAATTATAATCACTTTCAAGTGTGATTATATTTCTATTATCAAATTTAAAGATTCTCCTTAGGGCTAGAAAAATAGCAATATAACATTTGATTGCTCTAATTCAGTGTCCTTGGTATATTGCTCTTTATTCACTAATAACCTAACAGTTTATTCACACTACTTATTATTTATTTTCGGTTTCCTTTGCATGTAATAATAAAATAGTATATATTCTAGGGGCGTCTGGGTGGCTTAGTTGGTTAAGCGTCTGATTCTTGGTTTTGGATCAGGTCGTGATCTCAAGGTTCATGGGATGTAGCCCCACGTTGGGCTCTGTGCTGACAGCCTGGAGCCTACTTGGGATTCTCTCTCTCCCTTTCTCTCTCTGTCTCTCCTCTCCCCTATAAATAAATAAATAAATAAATAAACTTTTAAAAAATAATATATATTCTGAAATGAGATGAAATACAGTTGTATGGTTCAACCCATTGTTGGTTAATTTTCAGTTGGTTAAAAGCTTGTACTTTTTCACTGGGTGTTGTATGTAATTGATGAATCACTGAATTCTACTCCTGAAACCAGTGTTGCACTGTATGTTAACTAAGTAGAATTTAAATAAAAATTTGGAAAAAATGTTGGGAGAAAAAAAAACCATGAACCTAAAAAAGAAAAGCTTGTGCTTTTTGACACCTTTTTTTTTTTGACATTTTCTATTTGTTACTATATTGTAAATAGAATTTTACCTCTTACTTGCCTTTATAGATTATTTCAAAGTTATTTTTTCTTTATATTATAATTAATCCTGCCCACTAACTCATGTTTGCTGTTGTTTAGGTGGTTGCTCCTTATCAAACATTGTTGAACCCTCTGAGCAAATTGAATGTTCTGAATAATCTACATTCCCATTTCATATTGGTGGATGATGGCACTGTTGGAAAGTATGGGGCAGAAGTCAGACTGAGAAGAGAACTTGAAAAAACTATTAATCAGCAAAGAATTCATGCTAGTAAGGGAATTTATAAGTTTGTTATTGTTGAGATCATTCTAGGCTAGATTCTAAAAAGATTCTAAAAAGGTTCTTCGGAGGGTTTATTTCCTTTCGTAGCAAGACAACATACGGAACAACCAAAATGACTGATCTTAGGGGCGACTGGGTGGCTCAGTCAGTTAAGCGTCTGACTTTGGCTCAGATCATGATCTCATGGTTCATGAGTTTGAGCCCTGCTTTGGGCTTTGTGCTGACACCTCGGAACCTGGAGCCTGCTTCAGATTGAGTGACTCCCTCTCTCTCTATTCCTCCCCTGTTCACACTTCTTCTCTGTCTCTCTCTCTCTCAAAAATAAATAAAGATTAAAAAAAATTAAAAAAAAAAAGGACTGATCTTAGGCCAAATAGGAAGTCTGAGCCCAAATAGGGTATTCACATATTGAGGCCAAAGCCACAAAGGTTCATTGGAAGCTCTGTTGCTGTTGTAATCCCCTTGCAGCCCAAGGAATTCAGAAATATTCTTAATCTGTGATGTATTCTAATACATGACTTGAAATTCAAGATTGAAGAGGAAAAGAGGAAAAAAAGATAGTTTATTGCAAAGTAAGAATCATCTTGTTTAAAGTTTATAACATGAATAGGTATCACTCTTTGGTAGCTGTGTCTTAAAAATTGGTATTCTTGACACTGGTCTTCCTTTCCAACCATGGTCTTACTTTCTGATTCAACTTCTAGATTTCTCTTTCAAAAAGAAGAAATTTTACAGTCCTAGGACACCAAGAAGGTGGGCTTTGTGACAAAGTGAAATCAAAATACAAAATTATAGAAGGGTGCATTCAAATTATGTTAGAGTCATATCCTCTCCTAAAATTCAGGAATGTTTTAGAATCCTACATTTATGTGTATTGGGATTCTTTCACTGCAAGTTATTGTAAAAACAAAAATTGGTATTCTTCACTAAATCTTTTCTGTTACTCTGGTAGAGGTCTTGGATTTTTTTTTTATCAGGTACATTTAGGTAGTCCTGACTCTGTCATTAATTTTTATGTTAATGTCTCATTGCATTTGAAATCAGAAATACACATTTTAAAAACGAGTAAAAACAAATATACATTAGAAGTTCAACTCCCACAGTATTAGCAAACTAGGGGTGTCTTGGCTGGCCCAGTGGGTGGGGCATGCAACTCTTGATCTCAGGGTTGTGAGGTCAGGCCCCATGTTGTGTGTAGAGATTACTTAAAAATTTTAAAAATCTTAAAAACAAATTGGTGTTATAAATTATTTGTCAAGAGTTCCAATTAGTGAAATATACAAAATAAATTTTACTTTTCAGTGAATCTAAATTCTAGTGCATGCCTAATCATAGAAGTATTGTATTTCTAATTTTGTTATTTAGAACAGATTTTAATTTAATGAAAAAGTAATGTATTCGGTGTTTAACTTACTTATGCAAGATTTGGTATCATGTTGAATACCTAAAGTGAAGTCAGCACAGTCGTATAAGAAATTATATTTTGGCTTATTTTTATTTTGGTTTTGATTAAGTAAAAAAATAAGATTAAATTACTCTGTTTTGCCTGATATCTTGCAATCTTTTACTTTGTTAAGGAATTGGACAAGGTGTCCCTGTGGTGGCACTTATATTTGAGGGTGGACCAAATGTCATCCTCACAGTTTTAGAATACCTTCAGGAAAGTCCTCCTGTTCCAGTCGTTGTTTGTGAAGGAACAGGCAGAGCTGCAGATCTACTGGCTTATATTCATAAACAAACAGAAGAAGGAGGGTAAGTATGTGATTGCAAAAAAGATTTTAATAACTATGTAAAGAGACTTATGGTTTTTAGAATATTGGATTCATTTCAGTATTTTATGAACATGAAAATTTAAAGTTTAATAATACCTTTAAGGTTTGAGGAAATAGCTTGTCTTATACATTATGGGAATGAATTAAAATATAACAGTCTTCATAGAGGACAATTTTGTAAGATCTATCAAACATACAGAGGCATGTATCTTTTGACCCCTTTGTTCCATTTCTAGGAATTGTTGGTATACGTGTACTTTTACACGTGTGATATGCACAAGATTATAAAAAGTTACTCATTACAATGTTTTTTGTAAAAGTAAAAGATTGGAACAAAATAGAATGTGTATCAAGAGGACTAGATAAACAAATTATGGTATATCTACATAACAGTTTGTGGCTGAGAAAGGTTGGTATCCGTACTAGATTTTGGAAGATTACCAAAGTATATACATGGAAAGAGGAAAGCAGTTGAGATGGAACTGGGCAGATGGAAGATAGTGGGAGACTTTCACTATGAATTTTCATTTTTGTATTTTATAATGTTTTATGTCATTATATTTTTGAGCCATATAATGAGAAAATGTGAATGTGCTCGTGTTTAAGATATCTTGGCAAAGTATTGCTTAATACATAATAATATCTTAAAATTATCTTTATACAGTATCTTATAAATGTGAGTACTGTTATAGCAACACATGCCTTGTAAAACAATTAAGAAATAATACAAAGAGAAAAATAACTCCCGTTTTTCCTCCCATATGACTTACAGTTGGGAGTCTCATGAAGGAGGATATTTCACTCAGGGTGAAGTACTTAATATTAATACAGTATGTTAAAGGTCTTAACATAGATTCATCTATACTTCATATTAGATTCTACAAATAATAGAAATTGAAATCAGTGAATTAAGTTATGTTTCCTTTCACTCCAGCAATCTTCCTGATGCAGCAGAGCCTGATATTATTTCAACAATCAAAAAAACATTTAACTTTGGCCAAAGTGAAGCAGTTCATTTATTTCAAACACTGATGGAGTGCATGAAAAGAAAGGAGCTTGTAAGTAGATTTTGCAGAATAACCCTCTTTATTTCATTCAAAATACATTATAAATTGGTGAAATACTTTTGTTTTAAATTTGGGTTTAAAATTTTAAAATATTTTTTAACCATGCAAAGATGTCATTTATTATTTTGTTCAATTGGAGGGATATCATAGAAGGACTATGGTTTCTGTATGGTATTGAGACATATATTTGCATTTCTGTTTTGGGAAAAGTTTAATAACTAGACCTCCACAGATTATATCTAGAATCAAGCAAGAACTGTCAAGAGTTGTTAATGGTTTCTCCAAAATATATCTGTAGGAGCTCTTGGTTGGCTCGGTCGGTAGAGCATGCAACTCTTGATCTCAGGGTTGTAAATTTGATCCCACATTGGGTCTAGAGATTACTGAAAAAAAAGTCTTAAAAAAAATATTTAGAAAATATTTTATTTTACTCTGACTCAGTGCTCAAATTAAAGATCATTGTTGCCTAATTTCATTCATCTAAACATGGGCTTAAGTTTTCAGAGATAAAATTTTTAACAACTATAATAGGTAGATGATAACATGGTTTGATCTGTTTCGTTTCATGTATTTCATTTTTATACACAATAAAGTTGAAAGGAAAAAATTATATGGGATTATAATCTTTTACTTTATGAAAAATGTTATTAAATAAAAATCTCTCAAGTGGTGTTTCACTTCAGATAATTCAGAGACATTTCCAGTAAAAGGATAAAATAAGACATTTATCGGGGCACCTGAGTGGCTCAGTCGGTTGAGCGTCCGACTTCAGCCCAGGTCATGATCTCGCAGTTCGTGAATTCGAGCCCCACGTTGGGCTCTGTGCTCACAGCTCGGACCCTGGAGCCTGCTTCAGATTCTGTGTCTCCCTCTCTCTCTGCCCCTTCCCTGCTTGAGCTCTGTGTCTCCCTCTCTCTTGAAGATAAATAAACATTAAAAAAAATTAAAAATTGAATAAATAAAACATTTCTCATTCAAGAACACACATATATATTACTTGGATTAAATGTTCATTCTGTAGAAATAATGTCAAGATTTACTCAGATACGTAATCTGTATTCTCAGGCCATAAGTTGCTTATTGTAGTAAAGGACCTAAAATAGGTCAGAAAGTGAATATAATATTAAACTAAACATTTTGAGTATATTTGCCATTTTTATTTGGTAGATGAGAAAATTTTTTAATTTTGTGGGGGTCTTTTGTTGAAATGAAGTTAATTTCTGACCAAAACCCCAAAAAACTGTATCTCCTATGTGGTTTGAAATTAGTTTCTGTTTTGTATACCTTATGCCTTAGCTTTGAAAATATAAAGGCATAATATTATGAATTGATCTTTAAATAGATCACGGTTTTCCATATTGGATCAGATGAACATCAGGATATAGATGTAGCAATACTTACTGCATTACTGAAAGGTAAGATTTAAATTTTTTTATTTGTAAGATCTTATTCATAGCCTATTTATATAAGGTAGGACTTTTAATTTGGCTGAATTTGGGGGAATTTTTCAGTAATTGTTCTTTGTGGAAGATAACAGTGCTAGCTTTGTTTGTCAGCAAATGAGCTTTTGTTTTTGTCTTGCAGAAATTTTTAAAATTTTTTAATTTTTAGAAAGGTGTATGCCACCAGACCCATTTATTTATCCTGTTAAGAATGTGTCACATTTTTAATTGACTGAAAAATAAATGTTTAAAGGTAATAAGGTATTGGTTCATAGAAATTAGTATGTTCTTAAACATGCTGTTTTCATTCTGAAAGGAAGTTTGGAAAGAAAACTAGTGGTATATTTGAGGACTAAAGAGTTAATATACATCACATTGAACTGTTGTCCTCTCACATATCTTGCCAAAGACATCCAACTGATAAAACAAACAGAATTACGGTGAAAAATCTTCCTAAAAATTAGAAGCTAAAACCGTGTCTCATCTGGGTGGGTACTTGAAAGTCACAAGTATGCAGTGAAGTGGCCAGAGCAGAGTAAAAGAGCACTAAGCATTCACAAGAATTTCCCAAACATTAGACCATAATAAATTGCCAATAGATTAAACATTTGAAAAATACTGCAATAAAATATAACCTATTTACATCTTGGGAAAAAGACATAATAAGTAGTAGGAAATTCAGAAACTGTAAAGGGAAAAATCAATAAATGGGATTGCCTACATATAAAAAATAAAAAGAGAACTCAATATTTGTCATATAATTTTCTTTGTGCTAGCCATTGTGTTTTAGTGGTTTACGTTCTTTATCATTTAATCTTATAACAACCCTAAGAGACAGATTTCCTATTATTTCTTCATTTTATAGATGAGGAAATTAAGGAATAGGATTGTGGAGAGACCACAAAGAGTTGTTATAAATTAATGGTAAGATGATGAATACCTCATGGGAAAAGGAGTCTGAATTTAAGTAAAAATGTTAGCAGAATAATATAAATGCCTGGGAAAAATGTGGAAAGATGGTCAATATTATAATTAAAGTAAATATTAATAAAAGAAGCATTTTACTCTCCTACTGGGTATTCTTATACCATTGAAAGTTTCTTATAACCTTTTTGGGACATATTTTGGCAGTATATTAAAAGTTTGAAAGTATGTATTCTTCTTCCCAGCATTTTGGCTTCTACAGAGTCATCCTATTTAAATAAACATGTACCTAAAAATATATTCACCAAAAAATTCAAAATAACCTGAATGCCCACTAGTGTGATTGTTGAATCAAGTTTAGCTCACCTTTAAAAAGTATTGTTAATGTGTATATGAAGTTAATCTGTATGTACTATTATAAGGAACTAAGGGTATGATATTAAGACACATAAAGTAGGCTACTGAATACTTTGTATCGTAGGATGTACTTTTGCATGAACAATTAAAAGTATATGTATGAATTTATATACGTACAGGAAAGCACCTGTTGTAAGGATATTTTTCATAATTCTAACATAGTACTATCTCTGTGATAGAAACAGGTAATTTGTTTTATTCCTATTGCATTCTGAAGTGTTTGCAGTAAATGAGGCTGTGTGTTTTCTATAGTTGGAAAATAAAAGTCCTAAGCCCTGGGGTAACCTTATCTCTCTGAGACCGGCTACCTCTGAGCAGTGGCTGACATGAACTGTGTAAGTTAATTAAAAGGAAATGGGAAAGGTTCATAAGTGTTCACATTTTAATGGAGATAAATTAATTGAACTTAACTGTTTTCTTTATTCAATTAGGCACTAATGCATCAGCATTTGACCAGCTTATCCTTACACTGGCATGGGATAGAGTTGACATTGCCAAAAATCATGTGTTTGTTTATGGACAGCAGTGGCTGGTATGTAAATATATACACAATGTAATTCACTTAAACTGCATAATAACAAAGTATTTGCTGGAAATGTGATCTGAATTGACATTTTACCTGTCTGCCAAAAATGCAAGATTGGTTTAGCTAAACATTTCTACAACATGCAGATCCATTTAGGATTTCCTAAGTTCTGTTTTGCTCATGATAAAACCTTTGTTATAGGGTATATATACATCACTAAAAATCCTAGAACTGAAAGAAATCTTAGAAATGGTGCCCTATTATACATCTTTGTTTATTAGGGATATTGGCCTGTAATTTTCTTGTGTTGTCAGGATAATGCTAGCCTCATAAAATGAGTTTGGAAGAATTCACTCCTTATTTTTTTGGAAGAGATTAAGAAGGATTTGATTGTTGGTAGAATTCACCAGAAAGCTGTCTGGTCCTGCTCTTCTGTTTTTTGGTAGGTTTTTGATTACTGATTCAATCTCCTTACTCATAATTGGTCTGTTCATATTTTCCATTTCATCATCATTTAGCCTTAGTAGATTGAGTTTTCCCATTTCTTCTAGGTTGTCCAATTTTTTAGTGTGTAATTGTTCATAGTAGTCTTTTAAAATCATTTATATTTCTCTGGTATCAGTTGTAGCATCACCTATTTTCTGATTTTGAGTCCTCCTTTTTTTTATTTTTTCTTGATGGGTGTAGCCAAAGATTTCTCAGCTTTTTATCTTTTCAGACAACTAGCTCTTAGGTTTCATTGATTTCATTGACCTTCTCTATTGTCATTTTAGTTTATGTTTCATTATTTCTATTCTAATCTTTGTTACTTTCTTCCTGCTATTAACTTTGGGTTTTGTTTATTCTTTTTCTAATTCCTTGAGGTATAAATTTAAGTTTGAGACTTTTAGAAGTTTTTGAGGTAGGCATCTATTGCTATCAGCTTTCCTATTAAAACTGCTTTTGTTGCATTCTACAAATGATGGTTTATTGTATTTCCAACTTTTTTTGTCTCAAGATTTTTTTTGTCTCAAGATTTTTTTTGTTTCTTCTTTGACTCATTCATTGTTCAGTAGCATGTTGTTTAATCTTCACATATTTGTGAATTTCCCAATTTTTTTCATGTAATTAATTTCTAGTTAATACCATTGTGGTTGGAAAAGATGCTTGATGATTATCAGTCCTCATAATTTTATCAAAACTTGTTTTATGGCCTGCCATATTATCGATCCTGGAAAATGTTCCATGTACACTTGACATGTGTGTTCTGTTGCTTTTGGATAGGATGTTCTGTATATATCTATTAAGTCCATTGAAGGCCAATTTTTTTTTTTTTTAATTTTTTTTAACATTTATTTATTTTCGAGCGAGAGAGGCAGAGAGAGACAGAGCATAAGCAGGGGAGGGGCAGAGAGAGGAGGGAGACACAGAATCCGAAGCAGGCTCCAGGCTCTGAGCTGTCAGCACAGAGCCCAACGTGGGGCTCGAACCCATGAACCATGAGATCATGGCCTGAGCTGAAGTCGAACGCTCAACCAACTGAGCCACTCAGGTGCCTCGAAGGCCAATTTTTTTTTATTGATTTTCTGTCTGGATGATCTGTCCATTGATATAATGGAGGGTGTATTAAAGTATCCTATCATTATTGATGTCTCTTAATCCCTTGTGTCTGTTACATAGTTAGGTTCTCCTATGTTGGATGTATAAATATTTATAAATGTTATATCTTCTTGTGGATTGACCCCTTCCTTTTTATCTTTTATTACAGTCTTTGTTTTAAAATCTGTTTTGTTGGGGCGCCTGGGTGGCGCAGTCGGTTGGGCGTCCGACTTCAGCCAGGTCACGATCTCGCGGTCTGTGGGTTCGAGCCCCGCGTCGGGCTCTGGGCTGATGGCTCGGAGCCTGGAGCCTGTTTCCGATTCTGTGTCTCCCTCTTTCTCTGCCCCTCCCCCGTTCATGCTCTGTCTCTCTCTGTCCCAAAAATAAAATAAACGTTGAAAAAAAAATTAAAAAAAAAAATAAATAAATAAAATGTTTTGTCTGAGATAAGTATACCTATTCTGTCTTTTGGTTTCCATTTGCATGGAATATCTTAATTCTGTTTCTTCGCTTTTAGTGTATGACTTTACATCTAAAGTGAGTCTCTTGTAGACATCATATAGATGATGAGTCTTGTTTTTTTAAATCCATTCAACCACTGTGTGCATTTTGATTGGAGCATTTAGTCCATTTACATTTAAAGTAATTATTATAGGTATGTACTAATTGCCATTTTGTTCATTGTTTTCTGGCTTGATGGATGAATGGATAAGGTAATTGTATGGAATACATGGAATATTATTCAGCCATAAGAAAGAATGAAATCTTGCCATTTGCAGCAACATAGATGGATCTTGAGATCATTATGCTAGGTGAAATATAAATACCATATGGTCTCTTTTATATGTGGAATATATAAACAGATTGGTGGTTGCTAGAGGTGAGGGGGTGGGGAAGTGGGACAAAATGGGTGAAGGGGGTCAAAAGATTAAAAAAGAAAGGAAAAAAAAGAAATATTCCTATATGTACAAGATAATTCAATATAGTGTTATATCAGATGTTTAGACTAGTTCCTTCAGTGGTCTTTCTCATCTTAACCAAACGGCAACAACCTTTTCCCAGTTTTTGAGATAAGCCTTAGTGTCATTTTTTACTTTTCTCTTTTTCATATATTCCAGTTCAGTAACATTTGTAAATGTTTTCATATTTACTTTAAAATATGCAATTTTTTGGGGCGCCTGGGTGGCGCAGTCGGTTAGGCGTCCAACTTCAGCCAGGTCACGAACTCGCGGTCCGTGAGTTCGAGCCCCGCGTCGGGCTCTGGGCTGATGGCTCAGAGCCTGGAGCCTGTTTCCGATTCTGTGTCTCCCTCTCTCTCTGCCCCTCCCCCGTTCATGCTCTGTCTCTCTCTGTCCCAAAAATAAATAAACGTTGAAAAAAAAATTTTTTTAAATATGCAATTTTTTTATCATCCTGGTTCAATCTACTGTCACCCTTCTTCTTTATTGTTTTAGTAGCATCCTGTTTGTTTCCTTACTCTCATTCTTCCTCTCCTATTACACAGAAGATGGATCACATCACATTTATGCAAAGCACAGTCCAGACCCCTTATGATGGCTTATAGGGTTTCACATCATTTGCCCCATTACTGCCTCTCTTACTTTACATGTTACCACTATTCCCTTTGCACTCTTTTATGTAACCATATTGGCCTTCTTACTGTTTTTAAAACATACCAATAATATTCCTGTCTTTGTACTTGTGGGGTTTTTTTGGTCCCTTATATGCCTGCCTAGACTTGCTTCGTTTTCTTTTTCTGGTTTCCCCTTTTTTTTTTTTTTTTTTTTTTTTTTTTTTTTTTTTTTTTAATTTTTATTTATTAAGTAATTTCTACACCCAGTGTGGCTCAAACTCACAGCCCCAAGATTAAGAGTTGCATCCTCCCCCGGTTGAGCTAGCCAGGCACCCCTCTTTTTCTGGTTTCTAACCAAACATCTCCTCAAGTAGGCTTTTTATTGTCTAACCTATTTTATTAAAAAAAATTTTTTTTTCAACGTTTTTATTTATTTTTGGGACAGAGAGAGACAGAGCATGAACGGGGGAGGGGCAGAGAGAGAGGGAGACACAGAATCGGAAACAGGCTCCAGGCTCTGAGCCATCAGCCCAGAGCCCGACGCGGGGCTCGAACTCACGGACCGCGAGATCGTGACCTGGCTGAAGTCGGACGCTTAACCGACTGCGCCACCCAGGCGCCCCTTGTCTAACCTATTTTAATAGAAGTCCCCTATGACAGCATTTTCTGTGTTCTTCTCTGCCATTTTTTTTCTTTAGTGTTTATCACTATCTGAGAAATCATTTATATATCTTAGCTATTTATTTCTCTCTCTACTCCTGGATAGTATATTTTGTAGAAGAAAGACTATTTTTGTTCACCTCCTGTATTCACAGCCTGGCACATAGTAAATGCTTGATAAATTTTTTTACATGTCTGAATCAATAGGAAATTTGGCAAATTAAATGTTCATTCCCACATTGAATTTTTATCCAGCCTTTACAGAGGATGAGCTAAATCTTTTCTATGAAATGTAAACAGCAAAGTGGAGAAAAGTATGCACAGCATGAGCTTCTTTGTAGCAAATTCTGTTTTTGGATGTACACACATTCAGGCATATCTGCATGCACTGTGTAGTCATAGAACCTTTTTGGAAACTGTTACTATGAGATATGTTTGTATAAAGATGGGCAGAAGAGAGAAAGTTTCATTTTATGCCATTTTTGGTATTTGATGGTTTTTTTTAAACCATGGAGATGTATTTCCTATAAATAATAAAAAAGAGTATTTAGTCACTTCCATTATTACAGGACTTCAGAGGAAGAAATTAATGTTGATCAGCTGTGGTAAAACTCTTCAATAGTAAACCAACCTTTTAGTCCCTTGAATAGCTTCATTGAATTTTTTTATCTCAAGTGTAAAGACTTGGAAAACGCCGTCATCTTCTGTGTATATATGGTTTATCTCATGGATTTATTAAACACAATGTTACCTATTTGATTTTGTGCTTTCCTTTATAGTTTGCAGCACTATTGTTTTTTCAGTTTTTCCTCTTCGTTGTTAAGAGTTACGCATGGAGTGTATGAAGAAATGTGGAACAAAGCAAATACTTTTTCTTTAACTAAACCTTTTTTTCCTCAGATGTGAAAATTTCGTAAGGCTTTATTGTTGTTTTGGGCAGTGGTTATAAACTCAATTCAGATAGAACACTTCTTTTTTAAAATATAAGTTTCATTATGCCCTTTTTATTACATGAAAATAAAATTTTATCAAGTACTTACTATACAAATAAAAATAAATTGGGGAGCCTGGGTGGCTTAGTCATTTAACCATCCAACTCTTGGTTTTGGCTCAGGTCATGATCTCACGGTTCATGAGATTGAGCTCTGTGTTGGGCTCTGAGCTGGCATTGCAGAGCCTACTTGGGATTCTCTCTCTTCTTCTGTCTGCCCCTCCCTTGCTTGTGCTCTCTTTCTCAAAATAAATAAACATTAAAGAAAACAATATAATGCCATATTGTGATAAAAACAAATGAAAGTCATTTATAATAAAAATAGGTATTTCAGAGTGACAATACTTAAGAATGGAAACATAAATAGCATAATAAATAATTATATGCTTGCACTTATTTTATGTAGAATCCGTGTAAAATGCTGCAGTTGTGAGTACATGCTAATATGGAAATGTTGTCAGTAATTTAAATTCCGTGGGGAGCAGAAAAATACCCATTGACAACTACAGGACAAGGAAAGAGCAAAGAAGAGGCACAAATAGGAATTAGAGCAAAAGTAGTTAGAATAAGTAATAACATATGAGAATTATTTGTATATGGTAAGAGAAAGAATCCTAAAATAAGAATAGCATGCCTTGATAAATCAGTGGCTATTAATAGGAGAAATTGAATAAGTTTTACAGTGTTATTAATTAGTTCAGCCTTATTTTTAAGTGCAATGTCAAAGTATTTCCCTTGTTGTGACATAGAGCTGAGTGATAAAAAATATTGCAGAAAACATGGGCACCTGGGTGGCTCAGTTGGTTGAGTATCTTATTCTTGAGAGAATCTGGAATTCTCTCTCTCTCCCCCCCTCTCCCCCACCCCTCCTTTCCTTGTGCACTTACTCAAAAAATAAATAAATATACTTAAAAACTGCAGAAAACATATCTTCCATGTTGAAATCCCATCACGTATGAGGTGTGCATTTAGTCTGTATCCTTAAGAAGATCTTGGTGACCAGATCCTTTGCTAAGAGATGGAAATAGAGGACAGATTGGAGAAATGGTAATAGAAGCTGCTGTAGAGAAGTTGTACAGTTATCTATTAAACTTATGCAGACAGAATCAGAATAAATTGAAAAACAACAGGTAAAAAAAAAAAAAACAAAAAACAGCCAATAATTTTGATACTGATTTTCCCCACAAAGTTTTATTTTATCATATGGTACTAAAATACTAAAAATATACAGAAGCAATAACATGAGATATTTAAAATATCTTAATATACATATAAAATATACTAATGTTAAATGCATTAATATTAAATATATTAGTGTTCTATTAATAAAATACCCTTTATGAGGCACCTGGGTTGCTGAGTTAAGTGTCTGACTTCGGCTTAGGTCATGATCTCTCGGTTTGTGAGTTCGAGCCCCAAGTCAGGCTCTGTGCTTACAGCTCAGAGCCTGGAGTCTGCTTTGGATTCTCTTTCTCCCTCTCTCTCTCTTCCTCCCCTGCTTACATTCTCTCTCTCTCTCAAAAATAAATGATTTTTAAAAATTGTTTCTTAAATAAAATAAAATACCCTATTAATGATACTTGAAATTTCTATATTTGTGTCTCCACTAATTTAACAGCATTTGATTCAGAGTCTGTTGAAGTCTATAAAGAGTCCCTAAAAACTTAAAAGGGACAGCTTAAAAATACTGACTGACGTACATGGTTTACATTAAACTCAAATGGCACAGATTGTATTGCTATTAGGAGATGTAATTTTTCTCTAATGTGAATAATTTCTGTTAAAGTTCTAAAGAAAACTGAGTACCATCTTATGTAACTAATATGATGTTGTATTTTTGGAAACTTCATTGCAAAACAAACTTTGACAATACTTTGTGTTTATATGTAAAGCAGAATTATTGCATTTTCACACATGAAAGTCCAACAGCATAACAAAGTTGTGTGAGATATCGGACAGTCCTTTCTGAGTGAAATTGTCTGGCATAGTGCATGATATCTGGTATCCTTTGAATGTTAGTAATGGCCCCCAAATAGTGAAATGATCTGTCCAAAAAACCTTTCCTAAACATTGAGAACCATTGCTCTAAGATTTTTTCCCCCAAATTTACTTGATGATGGATTCTTTCTTGTCCCCCCCCGCCCCCCCCACTATGTAACACTTCTCTCCTGCAGAAATAGTGCTTATGGAGTATTCTTTGGGGAATGCTAGTATAGAGAAGTCTTTTCTTCTATTCCCTTTATACCTTAAGTTCTAGCCTTTTACTATTTTGCATCTTTTTAGTTTGTTCCAAAACTGTTCAAGAACAAATAAGTATAAATCCTAGGACTTGCATTGAGAATTATTTGTATAATTAGAATGTGTGAAATATATTCACTAATTTTGATATTTTAGGTTGGATCCTTGGAACAAGCTATGCTTGATGCTCTTGTAATGGATAGAGTTGCATTTGTAAAACTACTTATTGAAAATGGAGTGAGCATGCATAAATTCCTTACCATTCCTAGACTGGAAGAACTTTACAACACAGTAAGTGTGTGTTAAAATTCTTTGTTGACTAAGCTTTGTTATCTTTGGGAAATGTCACTTTACTTAAACATATCCAATTCTGCTAAAACCTTTAATGATTTGCTTGATTACTTGGAAAAATTGCAGCCAGTCTTAGTGTCCTGTAAGTCTTAGTGTGCTATATGACAATCTGAAACCATTTCCTTGTTTCTGGAGATTTTCCCTGTCATCGCAGCAACATAGGGAAAAGGTAAAGTGTTAACAAGCCTGTCTTTTCCTTATCCTCGCCCCTTTTTAAAACTCTAGAATCAGCTTCTTAATTACAGAATAATTGTATTTCCTTCTTTTTCTTTTTTCTTGGTCGTCATTTGTTACACTAAATTTTTATTGATGCCTTTTTATTGATGCCTTTTTTTGTAAAAAATTACACATTGTTTTTTTGTTTATCCTTTTTGTTTTTCATGATTTTGACCTTGTGGTGTCCCCCTTTTAGGTTACATACCATTTTTCATTGTTTTCTAAAGAGCTCCTGAAAACTATCCCCCTTACAAAGCCTTTTGAAATCATTTCATTTTGAAATTTCACATGTCTAGCATTGGAGAGAGTAAATACTGCCATCTTATTGGTTTTCCATGTTGCCAGCTTTAATTGAGCTACACTTTGAAGTGCACTATTACCAAATCCTAGCTTTCTAAATCTGACTTCTCTGCAAAGTTGTCTGTCCATTCATCAGTTTCTACTTCTTTATCTCCTTTTAATTCCTAATGTCTTTGTACCTTGTCTTTTTTTTTTTTTTTTTTTTTTTTTTTTTTAATTTTTTTTTTCAACTTTTATTTATTTTTTTGGGACAGAGAGAGACAGAGCATGAACGGGGGAGGGGCAGAGAGAGAGGGAGACCCAGAATCGGAAACAGGCTCCAGGCTCTGAGCCATCAGCCCAGAGCCTGACGTGGGGCTCGAACTCCCGGACCGCGAGATCGTGACCTGGCTGAAGTCGTACGCTTAACCGACTGCGCCACCCAGGCGCCCCTGTACCTTGTCTTTATAGCAGTCATACTACTTCAGTAGTCTAATCTTCTTATCCTTTCTTCAAATTAGTTCTTTAAACTAATTATTCTTATAATCATATATTTTACCATGTCTTCAGTTTAAAAATTTTTGATAGATCCGTGGGGGTGGGGGTGGGGGGTTTAAAATGGCAGAGTAGTAAGGAGACCCTGGGCTTGTCTTGTCCCTCGAACACAGCTAGATTGACATCAAACCATTTGAATATCTAGAAAATTGATCTGAGGGTAACAGAACAATCTGAGTAATTTGAGGGAGAGAACACAGCAGGTACATGGTGTGGAGAGGTGAATTGGGGGATAGAAGAGCCGTGGTGCTTCACATGGGAGGGAGCTGTTTTCCCAGGGAGGAGAAAGACAGAGGGAGAGAGAGCAGTGCATTGGGTTTGTGCAAGAAAGCACTCGCTATAAAAGCATCTAAAGAGAAGGAGTAAAAACATGCACAGAGGACTACACAAGAGAAAACTGCTCCCTGAAACCACTAATGGGGGAAAAAGGAGAGGGTTTCATTACTGCCAGTCTTTTATAAACAGCGGAGCACAGAGTCTGAAGTTTCAGAGGTCAGCCACTGGTGCTACTCCAGTGAGGAAGCAGGGTGGAGACCTGGGAATAGGCTGTCCAGTCTGAGGATCCCCTAGGTCGCATGGGGAGAAGCGGTTCCCCTGCTTGGAGTGCGTTTGGTAGAGGTGATATGGCCTCTCCACAAGCAAAACACCCAGTGGTCACCATCAAGCCACCTCAGTCACCTGTATAGGAACAGAGATGTGGCTGAGGGCAGTAAACCCTGGTACCAGCTGTGTATTGTTATTTACCATAAACTCGAGCTGGTGCCAGTGCACCGTGGTGCAACCATTTTCCGGGACAAGCCAGCCCCAGACATAGCACAGCAAGACCGTTCCCCAGTGGATGGCTTTGGGTCTGAGCCATAGGGGTCTCTAAAATGTGGGGTTTTGAAACACAGCCATACCTGAAATAAGTTGGACTCTCAACTGACTGAGCATCCTAGGTGGCCTTTTTATTGTTTTTTTTGTTTTGTTTTGTTTTTTTATATTTTTTTCTCTCTTCTTTTCTCTTTTGTCTTCCAAGCTTCTTTTAACAAGCAGACCAAAACACACCTAGGATCTAGCTTCCATTATGTGATTTTTTTTTTTTACTTTTTAAATTTTTATTTGATTCTGTTATTACTGTTTTTTGTAATCAAAAATGACAAGATAGAGGAATTCACCTCAAAAGAAAGAACAGAAAGATATGACAGCCAAGGATTTAATCAATGCAGTAAGATGTCTGAACTAGAATTTAGGGGTGCCTGGTTGGCTCAGTTGGTTAAACGTCCAACTTCAGCTCAGGTCATGATCTTGCGGTCCTGAGTTCGAGCCCCGCATTGGGCTCTTGTGCTGACAGCTCAGAGCCTGGAGCCTGCTTTGGATTCTGTGCCTCTCTCTCTCTCTGCCCCTCCCCACCTCGCGCTCTGTCTTTCTCATAAATAAACATTAAAAATTTTTTTAAATGATTATAAGGATATTAGCTGGGCTTGGGGAATAAAAGCATAGAAGACACTAGAGAATCCATTTCTGCAGAGATAAAAGACCCGAAATCTACACGGACTGAAATTAAAAATGCTATAGCAACAAGGTGCCTGGGTGGCTCAGTCAGTTAAGCATCTGACTCCTGATTTCAGCTCAAGTCATGATCTTGTGGATTGTAGGGTTGAGCCCTGTGTCAGGCTGTGCTTACAGCATGGAGCCTGCTTGGGATTCTCTGTCTCCCTCTCTCTGCCCCTTCCCTGCTTGCTCACATGCTCTTTTTCTCTCTCAAGATAAATAAATGTTTTAAAAACTGCTATAACCAAGATGCAGATCCAAATAGAGGCCATAAAAATGAGGGTGGACAAGGCAGAGGGGGAATTAGTGATACAGAAGATAAAATTGTGGAAAATAATGAAGCTGTAAAGAAGAGGGAAACAAAAGTCAGGGATCATGAAGGCAGACTTAGGGAACTCAGTAATTTATTAAATGTAATAACATTTGTCTCATAGGAGTCCCAGGAGATGAAGAGAGAGAAAAAGGGGCAGAAAGTTTGTGTGAGCATTGTAGCTGAAAACTTACCCTAATCTGGGGAAGGACACAGACATCAAAATCCAAGAAGCATAGAGAACTCCCATTAAATTCAACAAAGGCAGCCATTGCCAAGACATATCATAGTCAGATTCTCAAAATACACACACAAGGAAAGAAACCTGAAAGCAGCATGGGGGAAAAAGTCCTTAACCTACAAGGGAAGACAAATCACTTTCACAGCATATCTGTCCACAAAACTTAGGCCAGAAAGGAGTGACAGTGTATTTTCAACGTGCTGAATCGGAAAAATACACAGCCAAGAATACTGTATCCAGCAAGGCTGTCATTCAGAATAGAAGGAGAGATAAAGAGTCTCCCAGACAAAAACTAAAGGAGTTTGTGACCACTAAACCCGCCCTATAGAAAATTTTAAGGGAGGACTCTTTGAGTGGAGGGGGGAGAAAAAAGACTAAAAGCAACAAAGAGTAGAAAGGACCAGAGAGCATCACCAAAAACACCAACTCTACAGGTAACACTATGATACTAAATTCATATCTTTCAATAATCACTCTGACTAAATTCTCTGGAGAATCAAAAGATGTAGGGTATCAGAATGGATAAAAAGAACGATACATCTATATGCTGCCTACAAGAGACTCATTTTAGACCTAAAGACACCTGCAGATTGAAAGTGAGGGGATGGAGAACTGTCTATCATGTTAATGGATGTCAAAAGAAAGCCACAGTATTCATAATTAAATCAGACAAACTACATTTTAAAACAGACTGTAAAGAGATGAAGAAGGGCATTATATCATAATTAAGGGTTCTATCCATTAAGAAGATCTAACAGTTATAAATATTTATGCCCCCAACTTAGACCCACCCAAAGTATATAAATCAATTAATAATAAACTCATTGATAATAATACAGTGATAGTTGGGGACTTTAGCATCCCACATACAACAATGGACAGGTCATCTAAGCAGAAAATCAACAAAGAAACAATGGCTTTGAATGATACTGGACCAGATGGACTTACCAGATACATTCAGAATATTTCATCTTAAAGCAATAGAATACACATTCTTTTTGAGTGCACGTGGAATATTCTCCAAAAACAGATCATGTATTGGGTCACAAATCAGCCCTCATCGGGTACAAAAATATTGAGATAATACCATGCATATTTTCAGATCACAACTCTATGAAACTTGAAGTAAACCACGCAAAAAAATTTGGAAAGCCTTCAAATACATGGACATTAAAGAATATCCTACTAAAGAATGAAATTAAAGAAGAAATTTTAAAAAATACATGAAAACAAATGAAAATGAAAACCCAATGGTCCAAAACCTTTGGGATGCAGCAAATGCAGTCCAAAAAGGGAAGTATAGTGCAATTCAGGCCTATCTCAAGACACAGGAAAGGCCCCAGATACATAACCTAACCTATGCCTAAAGGAGCTAGAAAAGGAACAGCAAATAAAGTCTAAAGCCAGCAGCAGCAGAATAAGGGAAATAATGAAGATTAGAGCAGAAATAAAAGATATAGAAACAAACACACAAAAAAATCAAAACCAAGAGCTGGTTCTTTGAAAGAATTAACAAAATTGATAAACCCTTAACCAGACTTAACAAAAGAAAAGATAAAGGACCCAAATAGATAAAATCACAAGTGAAAGAGGAGAGATCACAATCAGCACCACAGAAATACAGTTATAAGAGAATATTATGAAAATGATATGCCTACAAACTGGGCAATCTGGAAGAAGTGGACAAATTCCTAGAAACTCACAAACTACCAAAACTGAAACAGGAAGAAATAAAAGTTTGAACAGACCCATAGCCAGCAAAGAAATTGAATCAGTAATCAAAAATCTCCCAACAAATGAGTGCTG